TGAAAGAAGAAATAAAGCCTAAACGTTACAGCAGATATAGTAAAACAGAAAGAAATGAAATTTAAGGAGTAAACAACAAAGATAAGAGAAAGGAGAAAAGATAGGAGAAAAAGACAGGAGGAAAGTATACAAGTATATATACAGGGTGGCTGAGGTGATTGTACTAAAAATTTCTATCAGTTTTTGAAAACAGCAGTTAATGTGTAGAATTTTCACCTGACTGTACGCTGATATCTGTAATCGAAGCAACTACATAGAGAACAGCAATGCATAATACAAAAATCATGCTTGAATACTTGTCATCTTGGTTTTCTAAATGTGTACCATTTCTAACATCATATCAATTATTACTATACTCTCCTCAAAATAAAATTTTTAAAAAGGCAAAAAGAAAAACAAGAAGGACAAGAACAAAAATTTAACATTCTGGAAAACAAGCAGTAATATGTAAGCATATGTCCAATCTTACATAACTATGTCTGTTCATCTGAGCAACAGATTTGATGACAAAAATAGACAATTTTCAAACCATTGTTAGTCAGTTATTCTAGTTCTGAAAATCTGTAACATATGTATTGCTGTACGTTACCCTGTTTCTGTCATTGTTTCTGATTTTTGTTCTTGCTTTTGTCTCTTACTTTTCAAAATTAAATAATAAAATTAAATTTAATTTTGAAAAGAAAATAATTCACTATTATTCTCCCCAGTACTACAAGTATAGTCCATGGAAGTGGACACAAAGAATGCCCTCTTGACAATGAGGACACCAAAGGGGAAATGGAAGTTTGAGGCAAAGGAGGTTGGGGGAGGAAATGCCACAAATAAAACTCCAGGGTTTCTGGGAGGCTGGAATAGAATGACTTTCACAAAGCATGTACACCAGTACTAACTTTCACCTACTGAAGACAGCCTTGCCCAGCTGAATGGATGCAGGTGGACATGACTGCAGCCATCTTGAATCATAACCATTAGGACTGCCCAAGAATAAGCCTAGCTGAATTTTCCTGTATACATAGAAAAATTATAAGTAGATGAATCTGTTAGTGTAGTATGTGGAGTTTTATAACCAGAACACAGCTTCAGCCAGGTCCCTAACTCTTTGGATCCAGCTTACCTTAAACCAAGTCCATTCTAACTCCCAGGAAGCAGATGTTGTCCTAGCCCATATTCAGGATTCCCTTTCTGACACAAATTGGAGTGACCCAACCAGTGCCAGTTCCCCACAAGACCACACTTCAGCCTGCCAATAAGTCTATTAGCTACACTCTTTGCAGTCCTAGATCTACCTGCCTCTTCTCAGTCATATAGCACCTCAAGGCCTGATGTCACACACAAAGACCGAGATGTTCCAGGTACCCATAATGTGTCCTCCACCCTCTGCTCTGGGGCCTCTCCTGCCTCCTCACACATCCAGAGTCAAGGCTCCTTAGGCTGAGGGGATAAAAGCAGAAAAGTCTCCATTAAACAAGCAACACAGAAACAGCAGGGATCCATGAATCTTGGACTGAGTTGAGTGCCTGAACCAAAACCAATGGAAAAATGACAGTTCAGTTTGTATCCAGTGTGGACACAAGGGCAGAGCTTCCCCTGAGGAGACCAAGACAAGCTGGAGACTGGTTCCCGAAACCATGGTCAGCGGAGGGGGCCTCCATGTGAGACATTTTACAAGAGTGAGGTGGGACAGGATGCTGGCATGGTTGGGAGGAGCAGAGAAACCAGGGTTTTACAGTTCTCTCCTGCTTCTATTTACCTCTAACAGATAGAAAATGGAATAGGATGAGAAAGGAGAAATTTCCTGTACAAGGCTTATCTTTGGCTATTAAATACCCCAGAAGAGGGGTAACAGCATTGCACCCACTCAGTTCTCCTTTAATAGCTAAACATTCCCTAAAACTGGGAGCTGACTGCTGACCTAGAGTTCTTTGCTCCTGGTGGTGCCTCCCTGGCTCCTGATCCTGCTCTTGCTACCACTTCTGCTCCTGCCCAGATTCCTGCCCCTTCTCCCAGTCAGCTCTTTCAGCTCCTGCGCCTGCATGTGCTCCTGCTGCTGCCCCTGCTCCTGCTCCTGATCAGCTCCTGGTTCTTGTCCTTCTCCAGCACATTCTCATGTTCATGCTCATGTTCGTGCTGAAGGGTGGCCTGAATCCTCCCTTGCATTCTTACGAAAACAATGAGAGTTCATCAAATTTGCAACAGATGATGGAACCAACAAATCCTCGTTCTGGCACCACATTATGCTAAGGGAAATATCAGAGTTACTTAGTCTGGAACACACTGCACGCTGTTTTCTTAGTAATGACAGTTTTTTAAACAAAAAAATTCCAAAAGGGCATCCATGCACAGTGACATGTCCCAGTGCTTAGAAAGGCTGCTCTACTGTACCTCATGCTGACAGTAACATGGCTTATTGCAGGGGGATAAGGGCTGCCCAAAACACTCGGGGTTCCCCAGAAATCCCTGGAAATTTTGTATATTATTGCTTTGTATGTTTTTTTTCTTTAAGATAGGGTCTCACTATGTTGTCCCTTAGAAAATCTTCATGCCCCAGGTTTCCAAGTACTGGAATTAAAGACATGTTCAATCAAGTCTGGCTCCTGAAAGTTTCAGAGAAGAATCAGAGAAGAGGAACCTGGATGAGACTCCCTCACCTGTAGGCATAGAGCAGAAGTCCTCAAAGGACACCTTGGCTGACAATCCAAAACCCCCACCCATATACCTCCTCCATGAGAGGGCCTCACAAGGCATCCAACAGTGACAAGCCCTTCCCAGTAGATACTCTGGGAAAGGGACATATCTAGACATCACTCACATACTGCTGAGGACCTGGCTATGCCCACATGTCTCAAGGAAGTGTCTGGACCAGGACAACTGCTAGAGTCAGAGGAACCTACTCAAAAACATGATGACTACTCTTCCTAGTATCAGAGGCACAGCACACAGTAGCACACAGTCATCCTTCTCTGAGCAAGATGATCCTTCAGCAGAAGGGGAGACACAGATGTGCTGGAAAGGACAGGAAGTGGAGGGCTGTGTACACCACTATTCAATTCTACTCCAAGCCCTACTCAGTCCAGGTGGGAAGCCACAAATGAAGGGACAGCCATGTATGGAAGAGGCCAAATATCAGAGTTGCAGACTTCCAATTAGGACTCTGATGGAACCAACAAATCCTCATTCTGGCGCCACAGGATTCACTGACCCTGTGCTTCTCACAGAAGGCAGAGCAACAAAGTAAAGGCATCAAGTGCCTCCCTGTGGCATCCTGCGCCCTAAGATGAGTCAGACTCTGGCAAGTCAGACTCTGGCCCCAAAGGACCCATGCCTGCACTCAGGAAGAAGTCTGCATAAAGAAAAAGAAATGGAAAGAAGTCTCTCCTCAGATCTGGGCTGAGGACCCAGATTGCTCTACAGGACACTTCCTTCTACCCCTCTGCTGCTTAGTCATGAGCAAGTTGCCACCCTGGAGTCAGGGAGGGCTGTCAATTCAGCCTGAGTGGCTCCACCCTCATGCACCACAGCATGGATCACAGGAATTTGTACCCTCTTGGTCTCCTGACCCTCTGGATAGGACTCGGGATGGGAGTCCAAGCCTTGTGAACATCTGCTCCACCAGGCTCTAAAGTGACTCAGTGACCTTTAGCTTTATGTCAGCATGTTCTGTGTGTGAGTGTGCTTCCTGTGAGGGAGGGGTGCTGTCTGTATGTGTGCATGGGTCAGGGTTACAAGATTCAGGAGGCTTGGCACTAAGAAGCTCTTGCTCAGCTTTTGAGGGAAAAATCTGAACGGACTTTGAATGAGTTAGCTTGAGCCTTTCTGAAGTTAAGAGCTCCCCAAGGATTCTTCTTGGTGATCCTCATTTCTTCAGTATTCCCATGGCTGACCCAATGCTCAGTGAAAGTTTTATAATGGATTACTCTGGAAACATCACCCAGAACTCCCTTAATAGGTGCTGTACATTACAGCGAGTTGGGGTCATCTTGTAATTGTAGGTAATCAGAAGACTGAAGCTAATTGAAAGCCAGCCAGAGCCACTTGGCTAGGGCCCCTCTCAAAATACAAATATGAAGGACCAGGGAAGTAGCTCAGTGGTAGACCTCTTGCCTACAGTAAAGGCACAGTCTGGATTCAATGCCCAGTATCAAAAAGTAATAATTTTAATACCTTTATATAGCAGATGAAGAAATAATGGATTGGTCTGAAATAGGGTACATAACTCTCTGTTTTCACAATGTACTCTGGTCATTTGCAAGTACACAGTTTTCCCTAAAGGCTTCAGATCCTCAGGCATTATATTGAGGGAAGGAAGCTAATACAAGTGGGGCAGGGAGGAGTGCCTCTCATCTCCAATTAGCACTTAGCCCAGGAATCTCTATGACTTTCTGCATACACACACTCAGTTCAGCCCTCCAGTGAGAACAGCATCACAGTACTGCAAGATACACAGCCAGATCTCAGGAAGCCATGAGTAATTCCAGTTGCTACCTTGAATACAGGAGATGCTCAACAGAGGCTGAGCGGATATTGAAACAGTCCTGTCCAGCAATGAGTGTTCACCAAAGCCACTAGAGGAGGGTGGGAGAGGAAGAGACATGGGGCACTTGAAGAATGGCACCCATCATAATTGCAATGACTTTTTTGGGGGGTAGTTTTGATCAAAAATTTTTTTCAGCATCCCAGTAAAGAAAGTGGTATCCAGTCTGTCTGTTCTGAACATCTCCTTGCATGCCTGTTCTTCTCTCTACTTTTATGAACTCAACTACTTGGAAGTTTGGAGAGGAAACCATTTACTCCTCATTCTGTCAGGAAGGCCTCAGATTGGGCGCCATCTAATCCCTCTGCAGGTCATTCATCTCATCCTTGACCTCCAAGCAGCCACTTCTCTTGTCCACTGGGCAATACCCTGCTTCTTCTCCAACAATGTTACAAATCACTGGTATGGTGATCTTTTCCAGTAGCCAAACTTCTCTTTTATTCCAAATCAAAATAAGCCATGTTTTAAAGACAAAAAATTCCTTTGTGTCTTATTGTTCTTCCTCATGAGACAAATTATCCAACATCCACTATTTAAGGGAGGAAAGGTTTATTTATTTCACAGCTTGTAGATGTTTCAGTCCATAATCAGCTGGCTCCAAAGTAGGATAGCATTGTAGACAGGCATTGCAGGGGGGAACAGTACATGCCAGGAAGAAGATACCAAAGCAACAAACAAGGGACCTTAGCAGCTTTTTCTGCGCTTTTACACTTTAACTAGACAACCTGGAGTTCTGTAATGCCAAAGCAAACAGTGGATTGATTTAGTCATAGTCCTAGCATCACACTCTAAATTCAGCCACCTCTGAATAAACACCACTCATAACCTCATGGACCTTGGCAGGACATCTAGACACAAACCATAACTATTTGTACGTCCTCTACTTGGATTTCTGTTGAGGACAATCTAAGGCCAACCAAGACCTAACATCCATGGGGATAGACTGGTGGTACTCTTCAGATTCAGTGATTGTAAAGGACAGGGGCCTACATGACCTGGGCCACGTCTACACTGAGGGAAGGTGGACAGTAGCCAACACCAACACATCCCCTCAGGAGGAAAGCAAGCGGCAAGTGAGGCATGGGCTCTGCACCCTCGCACTCACGCCCAGCCACTCAGATGTGTGGGCTCCTCATGCTTGGCCATGTTGCTCAGAACCATCAGCAGGCATCACTGAGTGATGCTGAGTCCCTACTCTTGGGCACAAGTCCTTGATTCTTTCCCTCTCACTTTGCCAGTCTTGAGTAATACCTGAGAATAGTTTTTCTGACAGAAAAGATGTGACAGATACCATGTTGTATGAAAGCTGCTTTCTCCCACCCGCTTTCCTTCCCTCACATATCCCAACCCACACACACTACCCATCTTCCCAAAACACACACCCAGTGGTTGGCTTTAAAGGGATTTGGCTGGTTTCGAGGATCTCAAGTACACAAAGGCATCCAACAGGAATGTGGGCATGTAGCTCATAGGGAGGTAAAACAACTTGGCATCCCAGCCAGCTGAGTACCGGGTGCGAGGATGACAGGCAGTCAGGGCATGTTCCATGCAGTCTGTCACCAAAGTCACATCTGCATTGCTACTTTGTTCCACCTGTTTAGATGATTTCTGGTCTGTAAAAAAAGAGAAATGATCCAGGTTTATTGCTACCTCCCACCAGTCCTGCTCTCTGATCAACATAATAAGAAACTTTTCCCCAAGAGAAACACTCCCCCTATCCAGAAGCCATATAAATCAAAGCTACCCAAATTTCCAGGGAAGTACCACTACTAATTCTCAACACACTATGGTTAAACACTAAGCCATATCTTCCTCTCTACCTGGGCTATTTGGGCAGCAAATATTGAAGGTCTCTCTCTTTTTTTTTTAGTAATTGTTTTTATTTTTAGTATTTAGTACAAGGTCTCACTGCACAGATCAGACTTGTTATGATTCTCCTGTTTTCAGCCTCCCAAGCACTGGGATTACAGATGCATGCCACCACACCAATCTCAAGCAAGGTCTCAGAGCCCCCCGCCCCCTGGGGGTGGGGCCAGCACAGTACACTGGGGATCGCACCTCAGTGCCTGGCTCTGCCTAAGCAGGCGCTTTAATCTGCTGAGCTATCTGTTCAGCCCTGATGGTCTCTTGAACACTGGAAATTATTCAATCCTATGGAATAACTTGGCTCTCATGTCAGAGAGCATTGAGTAAGCCTGTCTCACCTCTTCCTTAATTTGATTCTAATGATAATGAGGAGTTCAGGTGACAGTGTCCCGATTTCTGATCAGTCTCAAGCCCTCCTGATATGACCAGAACCCATGTGGCACCAAGCAAATGGGACTAAATCTCCTGACTTTGCAGGGAAAGAAAACTAGAGGAAGATCTCATACTGTTGAAGACACTGAAAGGACACAAAGGAGAGAATTCATAGTAGCAGTTTGCTTCTCTTCCCTCTCGCCTTAGCTTACTCACAGAATTCCAGAAAACTCTCGCCGTAGATCTCCTTGACTTCTGAGCTGACCTGGTTCCACACCTTCTGTATGCTTTGTAGGAATTTTTCACTACTGGTCACGTTGGTCTTGAAGAAACCAGGCTCAATAATAGCCACCTTCACCCCAAAATAGGAGAGTTCCCTCCTGCAACACACACAACAGCAGGCAAGGACTTCAGCAATCTTGGTACGTAAACTCAATTAGATAACACAACACCTTCATGTAAGATTGGGATGACAATATTTGAAAGCTTAGTGTCTGTGTGGTGCAGAAGCTTGGTTTTACAATGATAGTGATGAAATTATCTCTGCATGTTTCTTCATTCCTCCAAGCATTTTGCATATACAAGCCCAGTGATATAAATCCTACGGGCTTAGGAAAGGAATTCATTACAAGATACCTCCTACATATCTGAAACCTATGACCCAACATTTGGGATCCTGAGGAAAAAGACTCCTAGTTTGCTGGCTACCCTACAAACATACAAAGAAAAACCCACACTATCTACTCCTGTGTTGTTGATATCCAACACATGTCTAGGCTTTCCTATGTAACCTCTTCTATAACCAGGCCCATGCTCCTCTCTGCTGCCCAGGAGCTCCCCAGCCTGTGCTGTCTTCTAGAGTTTCTAGAGTGTATTGCTCAACCTGAATGCATTCCTAGCACCCCATTGCCTGAGACAGCTCTGGCCTGTTGTCAGCAGGATCATTGGTTTCTTTTTTTCTTTTTTTTAAGAATTATTTATTTATTTATTCATTAATTCATTCATTTTGTGTGTGTGGCCAGCTCAGCCCACCAGGGGGCTGGGCTGGCTGGCATGTGGTGCTGGGGGATTGAACCGCGGTCCCTGTGTTTTGCTTAGCTTAGCTTGTTCTAAGTAGGTGCTTTAGACCACTGAGCCATCTCACCAGCCCAGGATCATTGGTTTCTGCATGGCCCCAGCAGCTCCTATCAATCAGTCCTTTCTGTGGACATCCTGCCAACAGGATGAAGCGCACACCTATATAGGCCACAGGCCCTTCACAGCCTGCCTCTACCCACCTGCCAAGAACACCTCCACAAACCTTGAAGCTGCCATGAGCACCATGGTTGACTTGGGCTCAATCACCCTAGGAGGTGGCACTGTTGATACTGTGTCACTTCTCCCTCTCACAAATGTGATCTTTTTTTTTTCCAAAATACAATGTTAATGTTATGCTAGATGGCATTTATCAGGCATGCAAACAAAAGTCCAACAAACATCTGTTGAATTGCATAAGAAACCTCAGGCCAGCTGGATCACACAGGTCATGTGTCTAGCTATGGATACAGAGCATCTCTGCTGCAATTCAACCTTAGATACTTTCCATCTGTGAAGTCTCATCCAGTGCTGAGTTCATCAAATGAACTCAGGCCTTTCCTCTACACAACACATGGAATTGTGCCTCCCAACAAATGACCACTTGCACTCACAAATGCAAAGTGACAAAGTCCCACACCCAATAGATAAGGATCTCCAAGACGTGCTTCTAAGTCTAGAGCTATCTCAGACCCTGAAATAGACTACTTAAAAACAATGGGTAAAGGAGTCCCCAGGAGACCTCATTGTTGTCCGGTACCTGAGGCTGTCTGAAAAGGCCTCCACACCATACTTGGAGATGCAGTAGCCACCACCAAAGAGCGAAAGCCGACCCATGATGCTGGCGACATTGACCACACGGCCTTGTGCCTTCCTCACTAAAGGCAAGAGGCTCAGAGTCACCTCGATGACACCCAACAGGTTCACGTTCAGTATGTTCATGAAGTCCTGCTTGTTCAGCCACTCATTGGGAGCAGTGGGTAAGGAGATGCCAGCATTATTCACCAGGCCCCAGAGTCCTAGAACAGGAAAGATGGAAGAGCCACACTGAGTGTGTAAGTGGTCATGGTTAGGGCTCAAATCACCCTGCAGCAATGGAAAACATTCTCTCCTGGGAAGGAAGAAGAACAGAACACAGACAAGCCAGGATCTGCAAGACCTGGCTGCACGTGTTGGAGCTGCTGGCTCACAGAATTGATGCCTTCTTCCATTTTTGATTCTGAATGGCCCAGTTCACAGTCTGAGAGGTAGCAGAACATTATCTCATGTTTGTTCACTAGCAGAATACATTTTAAAGAAATATTATGTACCCATCAATATGAAAACAATGATTGGTTTTTTAACAAATCAATGAAATCTTATACAGACTTTATCTTTTTCTTGTTCTTTAAAGCAACATTTTACATTTCTCCCACACAATTACCATAGTAGTAGAAGACAGAAGATGAGGAGAAACAGAAAAGAAGAGAAAAAGAAAAAACAAGAAGAAAAGAAAATACTAACATGTGAGTAGAATTTGATAAAGAAGAATAGAAGCAATGACTTCTTGGGGGAAAGTTTCAAAAAGTGCTGTGTTTGTCCTCAGGAAGCTGACCTTGAAAACAGAGCATAGATGCGGCATTGCCTTCCTGAGAGTGCGTTTGCAAAATGCGACAGGAAGGCTTAGCATGGCACACAGCTCCTTCCTTCCTCCTCCAGAGCCATGACACAGCAATACGTTGTGGCACAGAGAACAGTGGCCCTGTCCCCACTCTCTGAAGGCCACCCTCCCTCATTCTATATGGTCTCCATATCATGATCTTCTCATGGCCACTCTGGATAGCCCCACAGCCACTTCTAGGAATAAACAACATTTGCCAGCCTCAGAGCACAGTGCAGTGCTGGCGAGTGCCCATTGGATCCAGGGCAAGGAGTACAGCATGCTGATGTGCAAGAGAGGGCCAGGAGCTCTGCACCTCCTCTGCTCAGAAACCCACCCTGCTGTTCAGGGAAGACAGTCCCTGTCCCTAACCCACTTTATCACTAAGAAGCCAACCACACACATAAATGTACTCGTGTCAGTAGAGCAGTGCCCACCAAGATGACATTAATGACAATACCACATCAGAAACAACTCCCACACACAGCATTCTGTATATCTAAATAGGTAGAGTTCTACAGAACAGTCTTCATTCAGTAGTAACACTGCTCCTCTTTATTTTTTAAGTAAAGAGATTAGGTATGAGCTGTGCACAAAAAATAAGTACATACAGGTCAAAGAGCTAATATTTTTCTCTTGGTGGTGAGATATTTTGCTAATTTTTCATGGTTCTATGCATTTCTGTATTTTTGACAATAGTCAGAGCTGACACTTATTCTTCAATTACAGAAACCAGTGCTCCTTTCTTCCCCTGTAACAGGACTAACGAAACACTGCAGTGAAAGATAAAGCAAACATGAGTCCCAGGTTTTGCCTTTCATAAACCAGTTCCTAATCTCCTAGCTGTTCTGAAAATAGGAAGATCTTAGCTCTCTGGTAGGGCATGTTGGGGACCCAGTAAGAGCACGTTTCAGTGCTGAGACATGAGCTCAACTCCAGCACACAACAGGCCAGCACACACCAGGGTGCCAGGCCCCAGCCCTCCTCCTGAAAGATTCCCCATTGTTCTCTGGGCACTCACACCCAGCAGCCCAGAACTTCTGCTTAGAAAGGCAGGCAGAGGACAGAGAGGAAATCTGGACAGAGAGGCAGCATTCACAGGAGGGGCCTCTCACCAAGACTACAGGGTCCCAAGGGTGACAGGAGAGATAAAGGCTCAAGTCCCACAGTGGGGAGGGAAGGAAGTTAGTCTCATTTCCAACACTACCCCCTCAGGATTTCTTTCCAGTCTCACCAGGGAGCACACAGAAGGTGCCCACCTCATACACAGAGGAAACCAACAGACATAGTCAAGAATCTGGCAATACCTCTGTCCCCCACACGTTCCTTCACCCACTGGGCAGCTGCAGCAATGCTCTCTGTCTGGGTGACATCCAGGATCACTGTCTGCAGCCGTCCTGACGTCTTCTTCCTCAGCTGCTCAGCCCCTTCTTCTGCCACACACGCAGCCAGCACCCTCAAGCCTCGCATGTCCAGCTGTCTGGCCAGCAGGTTCCCGAAGCCCGAGTCACAGCCCGTGATGAACACATACTTGTCTTGGAGGTTGCTCACCACCTGCCTCTCCCGGTACCAGCGCATCAGGTAGAACAAGCCCACAAGGGCCAGCAAGTACAGCAGCATGACTTCCCAGAAGCCAGGAATAGGAGTAGTGTTACAAGACAGGAGCTTGGCCTGTGTTCAGCCAGAAGTACAGAGGAAGTGAGATCCTAGTCGGCAGCACAGGGTGGTGGACTCCAAACGTCCTTGAGCTGTATCTGTGATTACTCTTTTATCACTGGCAGTGGAGCATTTTTTAAAATTCTGCTCCACCTCTCTGCACTTTGAACTCCTTTTGTGGATTTTTGTTTTCAGGTATTTTTAAACTAGTTTTTATGCCAGGGAGAGAGCTCAGTAGAATAAGTGCTTGCCCAACAAGCACAGGGTCCTAAGTTCAATCCCCAGTACTGCAAAAAATAAAAAATAGAAAAGTAGGGGTTTTTTGATTGCTTGCTTAATTTTGTGAGGGTTTTTTTTTTCCTTTTACCTTTTTTTTTTTTTTTTTTTTTGGTGGAACCAGGGGTTGAACTCAGGCCCTTGCGCTTGCCAGGGAAGTGTGTGTGTGTGTGTGTGTGTGTGTGTGTGTGTGTGGCCAGCTCAGCCCACCAGGGGGTGGGGCTGGCTAGCATGTGGTGCTGGGGGATTGAACCGCGGTCCCTGTGCTTTGCTAAGCTTGTTCTAAGTAGGTGCTTTAGACCACGGAGCCATCTCACCAGCCCCCCAAGGCTCTTCTTGAAGTTGCTATATAGGCCTGTCTGGACACAAACTTGTGGGCATCTTCTTGTCTTAGCCTCCAGAATATTTGGATTACAAATATGTGCCAACTTGCTGGCAGATACCTTTTATTTCATTGATCTACTGACGCCCTTGATCACCCCATGTCCTGCCTCCAAGAACAACATGACTTGTCAGCAGCCTGGCACAATTCCTTCAGTCTCTCTCTCTGCTGTCCCGAGCCACTCCAGGAATCCAAGGAATACCCCATGGCACAGGCCCCTCTCTGATCAGGGTCCAGGGTCAGACTGTCTACTCAAGTCAGCCCCTTGCATCAAGGACCTTCTGACGCAAGTAGGCACTGTTGGCAGACTGCACTTGTAAGGAAGACACATTCAGAGTGACTTCCCCTCCCCACCCAGGACTCCTCACCAGCCTCACCACTCAGAATACCTCCTCGGGAAATGAAGACATTTTCTTTCTTTCTTTCTTTGGCAGAACCAGGGATTGAACTCAGGTCCTTGCGCTTGCCAGGGAAGTGTTTATTCCACTGAGCCATCTTCCCAGCTCCATGAAGACACTTTCATTCTCTCTTATACTCCTAAAATACCAGCAGAATTTAGGGAGCATCTGAAGTTGGAAATTAGATATATATGTTGAGGCAAGACAAAGGCCAAAGTGCCTAAAGCAGCCAAGCTATCTCAAGCTTGAGAAAAACATCTTGCCTGAGATCATTCTAGTCATTAGTCACTGGTCAACCCTGTGTCTCATGGTACTAACTTTCTAAAATATGTAAATAAATGCTCCTACAGTGCTTATTCAGTTCCTGTCCTTCCATTAGGAAAGAAAGGACTGCCACCTGACCCCAGCTTTTGTCTCTTGTCTATATATTTTGCTTAACCCAATGCCATTTCTCCCCAGGACCATCTAGATTCTGTCAGTCTTAACGAACTGGCACCCACAGAGGGACAGCCAGTAAGAAAATTACAACTGGGCAGTGGGAAATCTCAATGTGCTCACAACAGGAGAGAGAAGTGAACTGGTCAGAGCCAGTTTTCAAGATAGGTGTGCCTCTGGTAAACATCAGATATAAAAACTTGGGGATGGAAGTTCACTAGAGGCGGAAGAATAAATGAGTTTAAAGAGAAGCCAAAGAGAGAAAAGTACATTGAATTACTAGTAGTTAAAAATGGGACAAATTGAGTCTCAAAAGCCACAGATATTTATAGATGTATATAAAATTTTTTGTTTTCTTGTTTTCTGTATTTATCTTACTTTTTAAGACCACCACAAAAGATTTCACTCAGAGTACCATTATAAAATTAACTCAAAAAAAAAAAAAATCAACTCTCAGGGCCGGGGAGATATCTTACTGGTCTAAGTACCTGCCTAGCAAGCACAAGGTCCTGAGTTCGGTGCCCAGTACTGCATGTCATGCCAGCCCCAGAACTAGACATGGTGACACAATGCTGTAATCCCAGTGCTGCAGAGGCTGAGACAGGAAGGATCACTACGAGCCTGAACTGCATAGCAAGACCCTGTATCAAATAAATTTAAAATGATAAAAATAAAATAAAATAAACTTCCAAGCATGAAAAGAAAGGTGAATCAAAAGTACTACTGATAGAGCTTAAACCCTCTAGCTTTGTCAGTCAGATGAAAATGAAAGAAAAAAAAAAATCTTTTAAATTGTGCACAGTTAGTTTGGAGCAGTGTGGCACCACTGGTGGAAGGAGCCCAGACCCAGTACAGGGAGGGCCCCACGCTCTGGTCCAAGGTGGACTTGGCTGAAATTTTGCAGCTGCATCCATGTGCACCACCAAAAACAGGCATGGGCACCTGGGGCCCCATGGCACATGCTATGTGCATTTCTAGCACCAAAAGTTCACCCAGTGAAAACAGCATCTGTGATCAGAATCCAGGCAGAATTGGGATATCCAGGGGCTAGTGTGGGGAGCAACAGCTGATGCACCCAGGGCCTGGGATACCGACTGAGATGATTCCTGAGCACATCCCCATTCATTTCTTCCCAGAGAGCTGGATTCCAGAAAAACTCCAAGGGTGCCTCCACCATGCAACCCACCAACCCCTAGCCACACCCATTACAATAGCAATGCACACTTTGCTAAGAGCCAGCAGACAGCAGCCCAGAGCATGGGAGCCCATCCCCAGCACTAAGGCAGGTTAATGAGCAGCTGCCAGGAACTGGCCCAGCCCCAAGGCAGCAGAGCAAAGACTGCAGCCAGACACTGCAAAAAGGTCTCCAAGCTTTGCCTGGTGTCATTCATTCAGATTATACAGAGAAAAAAAATCAAGGTTATAACTCACATTATTTAAAACATTGCTCAAATCATCCCAGACTCTCCTATCACTTAATTAGACATTCTTTCCTTAACAAAAATTTAAAAATTATAAATGAAAAGAGACCTATTGGGTTAAAAAAATAGGAATTAATTATTGTCATTATTATTTTAAATAATAAGATGAACTTAAAAAGACTTCTGGGCTGGCCAAATAGCTTAGCGGATTAAAGTGCCTGCTTAGGCAGACACAGGGACCAGGGTTCATCCGCTGGCCTGCTGTGCCAGCCCCACCCCCCAGGGGGCCCTGAGACACTGACTGAGAGTGGATATGTGTGTGCCTATAATCCCAGCGCTTGGGAGGCTGTAAACAGAAGGGTCACTATGAGTCCAATCTATGTAGTGAGACCCTGTACACCCTAAATGCATAAATAATAAAAACAGACTTCTGCAGTTGGCTTTTTTTTTTTTATTTTAAAGAAGGGTCTACAGAGTGTTCAGGGTCTCATTACTAGATCAGACTCGTAGTGATCCGCCTATTTATAGCATCCCAAGAGCTGAGATTACAGGCACAAGCCACCCCACCAAGTCTCTCTAGTTGGCATTTTGAATGAAGTAACTAACAACTCTGTCCAACCCTTTACATTATTTCTTTTGTTCTTGACAGACTTCTTGCAGCTTTAATTCTTGAAATTCAGATGCCAGTGCCGGACAATGTATCCGCAGAGGGAGACATATTAGTGAACCATTTTCCTGGTCATTCTTGTCTGAATGTAAATTGGACAAATTCTTTTTTTTTTTTTTTTTTTTTTTTTTGGTGGAACAGGCCCTTGCACTTGCCAGGCAAGAGCTTATCCTACTGAGCCATCTCCCCAGCCCCCAAATGGACAAATTCTTAAGCCCTCTTATTCACATCATGACAACCATTAGGAAAAAAATTAAACTTGCATATGAAAGCAAAAACAAAACCACCTGCAAAAACCCTGCAGATAATAAATATTGCTCATTATTTTCCACAAAGCCCAATTTTATTCACTCTTAATACCCTTGCAGTACTTGTACACCTTCTACACCGATCCTTGTTTCAGCAGCTGCTTGATATCTTCTCTTTCCTCCTCTGTTAGCTGCTCTTTTGGAAAATCCACAACAAAATTGATTATCAAAGCACCCTTGATGTTGTTATTGTCCAAGTTGGGGAGCCCTTCCCCTTTCTTCCATAGCTTGGCTCCCGGCCTGGTGATCTAGTCCAGGGAAATGTGCACCTTGTGACCATCCAAGTGTGCAACATCCATCTCAAAGCCAGCCAGAGTTTCGACTAGAGAGATGGTCACATTTCTGTACAGATCATCTCCTCTTCTTTCAAATATTCAGTACTTGGGGCTGGGAAGATGGTTCAATAGAATAAGTGCTTCCCTGGCAAGCGCAAGGGTCTGAGTTCAATCCCAGGATCTGGGAAAAAAAAAAA